ACCACTTGCCTTGATGTCTCCTGGGCAAGCAACTTGCTTATTCTTGTAGTAACAGTTAGTCTGCCTATATTGTTTTGTATTTTTCCTGTTGGTATTTCTTTCAAGAAGTATCTTCTGTTCTGCTAGCCGCTCTGGGCTGGTCTGCTCTGCTCATCCATTCAAGTGAAAATTTCCCATCTCTGAAGATTCTGGATGTGGTTCAGGCTTTCACCTATGGTCTTATGTAATGTTGAGGCCCCGCAGGAAGCCTCTCATTTGATTTCTTGACTGCTGCTTCCATGATTGTTGATTGTGGATCCAAACAAAGTGAAGTTTTTGACAACTTCAGTCTTTTCTCCATTTATCATGATGGTATTTATTGACTCAGTTGTGAGAATTTTCATTTTCTTTTCAATGAGGTGCAGCCTATATTGAAGACCATAATATTTATCTTCATCAGTATTTCAATTCTTCTTCCCTGCCAGTAAGCAAGGTTGTGTCATCTGCCTAACGCAGGTTGTTAATGAGCATTCCTCCAATCCTTGTACCACATTCTTCTTCATATAATCCAGCTTTTTGGATTATTTGTTTAAGATTGAGTAAATATAGTAAAAGAATACAGTTCTGTTGCACACCTTTCCTGATTGAAAACCATTTGGTATCCCCTAGTTCTATATGAATGACTGCCTCTTTTTCTTTAAAAAAAGTTTTTATTGTGAATTGAGTGAATGTTTACAGGGTAGATCATCAGTTTTACATTCAACAAATCATATACTTTGTTTCATTACAATGATTATAATCTTCTCCATGCACCATCAGTTAACAGTATTTCTCTCTATTCTTAGCTCTTTTATTTATTTATTTATTTAAATACTCAGGCATATATAATAATTTAAACCACCAAAGGGCACATTCTGCATGCCTACCTCCTGACCAACAGCTCTCAGTCCCTCTAATTCCATGAATTTAGAGGAATGACTGCCTCTTGATGTATGTACACATTCCTCCTGAGCACAGTGTTGTCCCGTTTGGCTCCCTTTGTATAGTCAATAAAGCCCATAAACATCTTTCTGAAGAAAGAAGTCGAAGGTGCACTGAGGCATTGACAAAGAACCAGGGCACTGGGAATTGATGGAATACAAATGGAAATCTTTCATCAAACTGCTGTGGCACTAAAGGCACTCATTCATCTATGCCAAGAAATTTGGAAGACAACTACCTGGCCAACTGACTGAAAGACATTGTCCCCGTTCCAAAGAGAGGTGACCCAACGGAATGCAAAAATCATCCGAGAATATCATTAATATTGCATGCAAGTAAAATTTTGCAAAAGATAATACAGAAACAGCTGTAACCATACATTGACAGAACTTCCAGAGGTTCAGGACGCATTCAGATAAGGATATGGAACGAGGGATATCATTGCTGACATCAGATGGATCTTGGCTGAAAGCAGAGAATACCAGAAAGATGTTTACCTGTGCTTTATTAATTATGCAAAGGCTTTTGATTGTGTGGATTGTGAGGAGCTATGACAAACATTATGGAGAATGAGTATTCTGGAACACTTAATTGTGCTCATGAGGAATCTGTACATAGACTAACAAGCAGTTCGAACAGAACAAGGGAACAATTAATGGTTTCAAATTAGAAAAGGTGTGTGGTAGGGTTGTATTCTTTCACCATACTTATTTAGTCTGTATGCTGAGCACATAATCTGAGAAACTGGACTATATGAAGAAAAACATGGCATTAGGATTGACAGACTGCGACATGCAGATGATACAACCTTGCTTGCTGGAAACAAAGGACTTAAAATACTTATGAAGATCAAAGACCACAACATTTGGTATGAGTTGTACCTCAGTGTAAAGAAAACAAAAATCCTCACCACTGGACCAATAAACAACATCCATATAAATGGAGAAAGGATTGAAGTTGTCAAAGAGTTCATTTTGCTCCGTCAACCATCAGTACTCTTTGAAGCAGCAATCAAGAAATCAAATGCTGTATTGCAATAAGCAGATCAGTTGCACAAGACCTCTTTAAAATGTTTAAGAGCAAAGTTGTCAATTTCAGGACTAAGGTGCTCCTGATCCAACCTGTGATATTTTCAATAACCTCATATGCATGTGAACATTGAGCATAAAGACGACCATAAAACAATTAATACATTTGAGTGATGGTGTTGGAGGGGAATCTTAAAAGTACCATGGACTGCCAGAAGAACAGACAGAGCTGTGCTGAAAGAAGTACAGCTAAAATGCCCCTTGGAAGCCAGGGGGGGCTAGACTTTGTTTCTTATACCTTGGACATATTGTCAGGAGGGACCAGACCCTAGAGAAGGATATCATGCTTGGTAAACTGGAGGGTTGAAGAAAAAGAGGGAGACCCTAATGAAATAGATTGGCACAGTGGCAGCAGCAGTGGGCTTGTGCATAGCAATGATTGTGAGGTTGGCATTGGATTGGACAGTGTTTCGTTCTGTTGTGCATAGGGTTACTATGAGTTGGTACTGACTCAGTGGCATCTAATAACAGCAGACATCTTTTTGGTATTCTCTGCTTTCAGCAAGGTCCATCTGATGTCATCAATGATATTCCTTGTCCCATGTCCTCGTCTGAATCTGGCTTGAATTTTTGGCAGCTGCCTGTCAATGTACTGCTACTACTGTTTTTGAATTATCTTTAGCAAAATTTTACTTGCATATGATATTAATGATACTATTTGATGCTTTCTGCATTCACTTTTCATTGTCACCTGCCTTAGAATGGGCATAAATACGGATCTGTTCTAATCCGTTGACCAGTTTCTTGGCAAACAAGTGAGTGTCTCCAGTGCTGCACTATTCCACAATTCCTGGAGTCTTATTTTTCACCAGTGCCTTCAGTGCGGCTTGGAGCTCTTCCCTCAATATTGCTGGGTTTTGGTCATACGGTGTCCCTTGAAACCATTGAACATTGATCATTTCTTTTTGATACAGTGACTCAGTGTCTTATTTTTATGCCTTCTATGTCATTTGAATATTTTGCCCATAGACTCTTTCAGTATTGCAACCCGAGGCTTAATTTTTTTCTTCAGTTCTTTTCAGCTTGAAAAATGATGAGCGTGTTCGTCCCTTGGTGTTCTAAAGAACTCCAGGTCTTTTGCACATTTCATTATAACACTTTACTTTGGGTTCTGGAGCTGCTCTTTGAAATGTTCTGTTTAGCTCTTTTATGTCATTTCTTTCAGTTGCTCTAACTTCTTTATGTTCAAGAGCAAGTTTCAGAGTTTTCTGATCCATTTTGATCTTTTCTGTCTTTTTAAGAACCTTTTATTTTCTTCATTATTGATGTTTTTGGTATCACCCCACAACTCATTCATTAATGTCTATAATTTCTCAAATCTTAAGATGGTCTCTGTGTTCAGGTGGGACATACTCAAGGTCATATTTTGGCTCTCGTGATATTTTAATTTTCTTCAGCTTTGGCCTGAACTTGCATATGAACAATTGATGGTGTGTTTCAGTCAATCCTTGGTCTTACTGAGCTTTTCCATTGTTACTTCTCACAGGTATATTAATTTGATTCTTATGTATTCCCTGTGGTGAGATCCATGTGTATTGCTGTTTATGTTGTTGAAAAAAGGCATTTGCAATGAAGAAGTCATTGGTCTTGTAAAATCCTATCATGTAGTCTCCAACATTGTTTCTGTCACCAAGGCTGTATTTTCCAACTGCTGATCCTTACTTTTTGTTTCCAACCTTTGCATTCCAGTCACTAGTAATTATCAATGCATCTTGGTTTCATGTTTGATCAGTATCAGCCTGTTGTTAAGTGCCATCAGGTCAGTGCTGACCCAAAGCAAACCTGTACTGGGTTTTAGATGAGTGAATGATAGGTTTGAAGTGCTGCCCTTCTGGGTTACAGTCCAGTACTGATCCTACAGCACCACACCAGAAGGCTGGAAAGTACTTTGGTATTTAAGGATGGAAAAGTTCTGGACTTACAGAGAGGTAGGAAAGGATGGAGGAAGAAACCTGATGAATGAGGGTGTGGAAGTGGGCAGTGTGCGTGAGAAGAGGAATGGGGTGGGTCCTTCAAGACCCTGAGTGTCAGGTTGAGGACTTGGACCTGTAGGTGAAGACTATCAGATAGAGCTCATCTCTAGTACTGTTCTCCATAGCCCGTGGTGACTGCCTACAGCACTCTGTTGACAGAAGAGACAGCAAAAGGTTGGTTATCTGGCCTCATTGGAGAGGACTGGTGCTGGATTACTGCTGCGGGTGGAAAGAAACAGCTGTTAGGGTCCTATGTCTACCTTTGTAGGAGAGGCACTGTGCTATGTTGTTAGCGGGTTTCTGATGCTGGGCTGTTTGCATTCAAATTCTTCTAACCAGTTAGCTGGTTAGTAGAAAAGTTGGTTACCCTCTCTGAGTTTTCGTTTCCTGTTTGTAATAGAGTTTTATGAAGTAGATAACTGTGTCATGTTGTTCTTGTGCAGCACTGAAGGGAAGTATGCATGCCTGGCATATTGTAGCCTTAGAATCGAATGACACACTATAATCCCGCAGTACTGAATGGCTGCCAAATGGGGGCATGGTTCCCCCATGCCAAATTCATGAAGAAACAGTGGAATCTCTCTAATAGATGGGATCATGTGGTCAGAGCAGTTTGGGCCTGGACTGGGAGAGTGACTACAGTTACCCAGTGGGGAGTGGTCTTGAGGGTCTGAGCTGGGATGAGGGGTGTGACAGGGCGGAGCCTGTCCAGTGAACTGGCTAACCCTAGGAAAGTTTGAATGTGGGGCTGGGATAGCTGGTTGGGATTGGTCCACGATGCTAGAGTGTATTCTACCTGCCTGGTGGAGGGAGGCAGACCATTGATGGGGCACGGCCCTGACGGGAAGAGCAGTGCTGACTGCTGGCTGCGTGATGACCTCCCACTTCCTCCTTTGGCAGGTCCCTCGCACCTCGGAGGTTTATGTCCACCGAAGTGGTCGAACGGCTCGCGCCACCAACGAAGGCCTCAGCCTACTGCTGATTGGTCCTGAGGATGTGATCAACTTTAAGAAGATTTACAAAACCCTCAAGAAAGATGAGGACATCCCACTGTTCCCTGTGGAGACAAAGTACATGGATGCAGTTAAGGTAAACCCACCGCTAACCAGGAGTTGGGGACCCCTTCAGAACACTCGCTGCCAGGCTCCAGCAGCAGAGCCCCTGGGATCTAAGCAGTGGTTTCTAAGCCGGAAGGTTTCTACAAAAGGGTCGAAGAGTAGACCAAGGGAGGGACTGCCGATGTGTGGTTGAGAAGTGTGCCTTCTCAGGGCGTTGACGTCAGCAGGCTCTCAGTTCACTGTGGGGCCAGCTGTGGAGGGTGTCTGACAACAGTAGAAAATCTGTTGCCTTTCAAGGGGAGTGCTGCGGGGGCACCTGGGTATGCCTTCAGCAGTGGTGCTGGGGATGCAGTCATCATCCAGACAGTCCCTGAACTCCTGGGGCTTACAGAATTCTAGAGCTGTAAGGACCAGAGAGACCCCTTAGCCAGCTAGCCCCACCCCCTCAGTTACTAGAGCCGCAGAGCCAGCCTGGACATAGGTTGTTTTAAGGTCACTTAATGAGCTCTGGTAGCGTAGTGGTTACGAATCGGGCTACGAACCTTAAGGCCAACAGTTCGAAACTACCAGCCGCTCCGCGGGAGAAAGATGAGGCGTTCTGCTCCCGTAAAGATTTACAGCCTCAGAAACCCTGTACAGGGTCGCTATGGGTCGGAACCGACTCCACGGCACTTAACAACAACAACAACAATGAGCTCTTAGTAGAGGTCAGAGGAGAGGTCCAGTATCAGGCCTGATTCAGATCCTGCTTCAGTCATTACATGGAGTTCCTTTTATTCATTCGCTCAACAGACATTTATTGAGTTCCTGTTATGTGCCAGACAGCACGCTAGGCCTTCCTGGAAACTCGATTAATTAATTCTCCTTAATCGTCCCAAGATCTCCTTGTTCTTATGACACAACGGGACTGACTGAATGATTTTGCTCCCTGAAGAGATTTCAGATATTTTTCCTCAGGAAGCAGATTGTGAGTGAGTGACTTGGGTGTCTGCGTGTACTTTGTTTAGGAGGTCGTTTATGCGATACAGGCAGTGTTTGTATTGTTTCCAAAGAAAGCGTTTTGCCCATGCAGATGCCCGTACACTGCTAAGTATCGATTCACAATAACACAGCAACTCTGCTTCGTGTGCGGCTATGAAGACTGGACTCTACCACACCCAGTGTTATGCTTCAAGGGGGTGGGGTGGTAGAAGGGTAGGACCCCTTTCCCCTCTGTACCTCAAAAGTGAGTGTGGGCTGCGTGGGTCCACTCGATTGAGGAAGTCTCACAAACCAGTGCCAGTGATAGCCAAGTATTCTTTTGTCAGGATCAAGGGATGGGAGAACAAGAATCTTTTTTTTGATTGGCTTGCTTCTTGGTTTCTTATTATCCATCTCCATTGCTCATTAGAAGAGTAATTGATCTAGTTCAGGAGAAGAGACTGCACCAGCAGATTACACACTGATTATGAGCATGATTACAAAGTGCCCGGTGTCCTGCTGCACAGGACAGAGTCACAGTACAGCTCCCCGCACCAGCTCTGTGGTTTAGAACAAACCCCCATAGTTGTGTGACCCTGTTTTCCATGGAGTTACTGAGGTAGGTGGAGGAGGAGTAAAGTGACTTGTTTAGGGCCACACATCTGATGGGAAGTCTTGCTATGTGCTTTGGGCATGCTTGGTTAGAGCAGCCACATGTGGCCTGTGCCACGAACCTTCCTGCATCTATCTCTACAGCCTGGGTCATCTCTGGTGTTTGGGAAGAGTTTACGTCAGACCCCTGATGTTGTCAGGCTGAGACAGGTCCCCAAGGGGTGGGATGGGATGCTCAGGTCTGTTTGGAAAGCTGGCTCTCAGTGCCTGCGTACACTTGGGTTTTATCAGAAACTAAAGTGCAAGAGTTGGTGGGTTACCACTCAGCTGCTAACCAAAAGATTGGTAGTTTGCACTCACCTACCGGCTTCATAGTGGCTACGAATCGGGCTGCGAACCTTAAGGTCAGCGGTTCGAAACTTCCAGCCACTCCATGGGAGAAAGATGAGGCTTTCTACTCCCGTAAAGATTTATACCCTCGGAAACCCTGTACAAGGTCGCTATGGGTCGGAACAGACTCGACGGCACTTAACAACAACAAACCGGCTTCATGGGACAAAGATGGACAGTCTGTTCCCACTAAGAGTATAGCCTAGAAATCGTATGGGGCTGTTCTGAGCAATTGCTTGGATCCGAATCCAGAGCACATCACCACACAGATGCATGGTGATGGGGACTGAGCCGCATCTCACTGATGAGCTTTAAAACCATGACTGACCTGAGACGCTGAGCCCTCTGCCAGATGAACACTCTCTGTGATTTTCCCCAGGAGCGAATGCGTTTAGCCCGACTAATAGAGAAAGCGGAGTACCAGAACTTCCAGGCTTGTCTGCACAACTCCTGGATTGAGAAGGTTGCAGCTGACCTGGAGATTGAGCTAGAAGAAGGAATGTATAAGGGTAAGACCGGGGCAGGTGGGCTCTTTTATGCCTTCCCACTTTGGTCTAGTTGGACTCATCCCCTGTACTGTTGGGTCTGGAAAACAACCTTTCCTATTTTGGTGACAGACCCAAGTCCCAGATGAGCCAAGTGCCCCCAGCGTTTGTTCTCTCAGTCTTGTCTGACTCAGTGTTGGTTGAGTTTCCTGCCCTCTTCTGTGGAGAGGGAGGCTCTGGTACCACATCACTTACATTTGAATGCTGACCCGTTCCTGTAACTGACCTTGTGGTCGGGTCAAGCTATTGAACCGTTTCTGTTTCCTTATCTATAAATTAAGTACTTTGATTACCTCCCACCTCCAGGGCTAGTTGTGCAGATTGCCAAGTTAGTACTTGTGACATGCTTAGAACAGCACCTGGTAAACAGAACATCTTTGGTATGCTGTAAGTTATTAGTTAGCATTGTGCTATTACTGGTACACCCATACCTGCTGTCCATTTACATACATGAACTGGCGGCTTAAAGGTGACAAATGAGTTGAGCAGGAAAACAGTGCCACCACCAGGCATTTCCTAAGCCCCTGCTCTGAGCCTGGGCCCCAGGTGCTGAGTACTTGGGGATGAATCTGAGGGTCTCTCGCTAGGAAGGGTCACGTAGCTGAGAAGTGGTGGAACCACAACCTGCCTTGCTGCACCCCACTATGTCCACCCCACTAGGCTAGCAGCTCGGCGAGGTATGGGCAGTTCAGACAGCCCGAGGGCAGTCTGGTGGCTGCCTGCCCAGTGAGGTTGCTTAGGTCTGGTGATAGTGAGCTGGGCCTCCGGATGCTCAGGCTTAGGGCTGGGGCTGATGCTGTGCGTGGCCCTCTGGCTCTGCCCTCTGTGCAGGTGGGCTCAGCGCTGGCGGAGTCTTGTCGGGAGGGTGGGGTACAGAAGGAGCAATGAGTCAGCACCCCAAGGCAGCCTGTGAGAAGTCTAGAAGCAGATGGAGACTTGGGCGGCTAGCTCTGTGATCTTACATGTGACTTCTCCAAGCCTCCGTTTCCTCATCTCTAAAATTAAGGCCATTCTAGTGCTTGTGAATAAAGGATGAGATGGTGCAGAGTGTCCCCTAGAAGTTAGCTGTTTACAGGGTTTGTCAAGCCAACAGCCAGCACTGAGTTCTACAGAGGACTTCTGTGCCCTGCCTCCCCCAAAAGTTCTAAAATGTGTTAATTGGAAGTATTACCCATTCAAGAAGGAGCTCTGGTAGCGTAGTGGTTACCAGTTGGGCTGATAATTACACAGTCAGCAGTTCGAAACTACCAGCAATACTGTGGGAGGAAGATGAGACTTTCTGCTCCCGTAAAGATTTATAACCTTGGAAACCCTGTGCAGGCTTGCTGTGAGTTGGAACTGACTCCATAGCACATAACCACCGCCACCTCTAGCAAACATTCAAGGGCAAGCACGATAGCTCTGTGAACCATAAAGGTAGCAGCTTGAGCCCTCCAGCCGCTCTGCCAGAGAAAGATGAGGCTTTCTGCTCTCACAGAAGTGCACCGTCTCAGAAACCCTGTATTAGTGTCCCTATGAATCAGAACCGACTTTATGGCACTTAGCCACAACAACCCGCTCAAGGAGATCAAATGCTTGTGAAACTCACAATAGGATCTGTTTTTATTCCAAGGAGGAAAAGCTGATGAGCAACAAGAGCGTCGAAGACAAAAGCAGATGAAGGTCTTCAAAAAGGAGCTGCGCCATTTACTCTCCCAGCCATTGTTTCGGAATGACCTGAAAACCAAGTATCCAACTCAGTCTGGCAGGCTGCCCATGGTTGTGTCTGCCCCGAGAAATGGTGAGTCTGCTCTGAGCTGTGTCTCCAAACAGAAGAAGAAAAAGCAGCAGCAGGGGCAGCCGCAGCCTAGTACCAGTGTTGGCTAACCGGTGGGCCAGGGGGCAGCACAGCGGGCTCTTTGCTGTGCTGTTCCGTAAAGCCCTCCTCACACCCTCTCACTTCCCTCCGCCAACCCCAGTTAGTTCCTCACGAGGGCAGGGGGCTCTGGTGTGTGTGCGCAGGGACTCAGATTCCTATATTCCAGTGTTACAGGCTTTGTATGTGCTCGACTTGATTTCCTAAATTAAAAACAGTGGTCAGAGTCTCCTGTTGTCCTGAACTTGTAGCTGGAAGATGGGGCAGTGGTGCCATTGGGTGGCATTGACTCGCAGAGTTCCCTGGGCGAGTAAAGGAACCCTGGTCATGCGGTGGGTTTCACCCCCACCACCTGCTCCACAAGAGAAAGGTGAAGCTATCTGCATTTGTCAGGAACCTATAGTCTCGGAAACCTCCTATAGGTCTCTAGGAGTTGGAATGACTTGGTGGCGGTGGCTTGGGTTTGGGTCTAGGTCAGTGTGGTGCAGGGCCCTGGGGGGTGTGTGGGGGGAGCACAGTGCTACCTGCAGGATGGTCTGGCTGCAGGATGCCTGTGGGAACAGTGTAGGGGTGGGCAAGAGGCCGAGTTCTCCAGATTCCAGTGACATCATCTGTCTCCCCAGCAGAGCCCTCGGCGCCTCAGTTTGCCTCCACTTGCTCACAAACTCTTGAGGTGTCTAAGGCATTCTGGGAGGTGGTGGGGAGGAAGTTATTGTCCTCAGATATCAAGAGGACAGAGGCTTACCCTGTGATCCCAAGCTGATTGAGTGGGGGCGGGGGCAGTAAGAATGGGAGTCAGGCCTCGGTATCCACTTCCCTCTGGCTCTATTGGGCAGAGCTGCTGGACACCTGTAGCCCTGTGCACAGGTCTTCCCTCCCCAGGTGTGTCTTCCATCCTGGAGCATTGATGCTCTTTAGGTCCCCGAGTCCCAGGTGAGCGAGCTCCTCTGGGGAGAGTGCTCCAGTTCTCTCTGGATTAATGCAGGTCAGCAGCCACAGCTGCCACCTCGGGGGATTTCTGAGAGCTGTGTCTGCCCAGCTCATCAGGGTGCTTACTGACAGCTGCTAGCTGGAGGGAACCCATGAGTTGGGAGAAGGCACACAATGGACCCGGGTAGCCCAAGACCCAAGAAAGATGAGGGCTGTGGGGACATCCGGCCCTGCCTAAATTCAGATGTAGGGGTCACTGAGCACTGACCAAGTGCTAAGCATTGCTCAATAGACACCTTTGTCTACTCTGTGTGCCGTGTAGTATTCCTCGGGGCTCGGACGTGCTTTAATAACATAGATTTGACAGTGGAGGAGCTGACACTTGGTGACTGTGGATCATACAGCCACTGAGTGGCAGAACTAAGGTTAGCAGTGTCTAACTTCTGGGCCAAGGGCAAGATGAGAAACTGCTTTAAAGACAACAGTGTGTCAAGGCCTCCTGCCTGTGTTGTGCCCCTGGTGATCTCGAGAGATGGGGAAGGTAGAAGAAATGGCCAGAGAGAGAGAAGTGGGCCCAGACTCCTTCTGGGAGCTGTCAAGGCCTCTCCATGTTCCCAGTGGTGCCTGGCGCTCAGCCTTGGGAGACCTGAGCATGTGTACTGGTGGAACAAAGACCCATGATGTTCCGATAGCCACACCCTTGCCTTCTAATAGTAATTTTCTTTATTGGGGAAGGGGTATTCAAGTTGGGTTGCAAACCACAAGGTCAGCAGTTAGGATCTACCAGCCACTCCATTGGAGAAAGGTGAGGCTTTCTGTTCCTGTAAAGATTTACAGCTTCGGTAACTCTACAGGGGCACTATAAGTCGGAACTGACTCCACAGCACACTACCACCACCACCACTGAAAGGGAGCTCATCAAAGCTAGGCTCTTCTGTCTCCTGTGGTGTGACTCCCTGGGCCCCAGCCCTGGATCTGCCACCAAACAAGGAGCTGGCCTCTCCCTGCTCATCTGTACATGACCCAGGGAGCGAGCTGGGCTCCGTGCCTATCAGGGATCCAATGAGAAGCTGGGACATAGCTGTGAGGGAAGCTGGTTTAATGCTGGGAAAATCATGTCACCAACTGCCCAGGGAAGCTGTACCCCTTGGGACCTGGGGCCCTTTGCAGCCACTCAGCCATAGCCCCTCCCTACCCAGCTTCTGCTTTCCTGATTCCCCAAGCTGAGGGGGAGGCACTGCTGAGGGAACATCCCATATGTAAAGCACTTACTGGAGTTGTGGTGTGGTGCTTGGAGGATCAGGTTGGCAGTTCAGACCTACCAGTCGCTCCTTGGAAACCCTAGTCAGGGTCACTGAGTCAGAACTGACTTCACGGCACGTAACAGGAGCACTTACTAGTGCCAGTGGGTGAAGTGAAGGGCTGCCAATGGAAAGGTTGGGGGTTCACTATCCTGGGGAACCCCCTGGGGCAGCCCTCTATCCTGGGGGCCTGGAGGGGGGCTTTGTGAATTGGAATGGACTCAATGCTAGTGGTTTGGTTTGGTACTGTGTCAGGCTGCATGTGGTCTTGCTCCACTTTAACCAGCAATGTTACATGGAAATAACGGGGTCTCCAAGTGACCTGTGCTGAGTCACACAGCTAGATAGTGGCAGAGCCTTGGTTTGAACCCAGGCAGTCTGGCTCACCCAGTGTCCTTTCTCCCAGTTGGGCTGAGACAGGAATCCCAGGCCGTTACCCCTTTCTGCTGCCAAATAGTCTCACCAGCTTACACCGTTTCCTTGGGAAAGTCACACATGTGCAATTATAAAGGCAAGCTGTCATACAACTTTCCTTCCAGCCTTTGTCTGGAAAGAGATGGCTTCATGGGGGACAGGCGGAAGACGCCTCGGGAGGGAGGGCTGTGGGTGCACGACTTGGATGAGCAAGGCACCTGACCAGGGTGGCTGTGGCTTTTGTCAGTTATTTGCAGCAACGTTAAATTCTGCCACTCCTTTTTCTCTGAGGGCCAGCATGGAGGGCCTGAGGCAGCGGTTTGGATTTGGGTACAATTGTGACTATCTTGACTGGCTTCTGCCAGACCTGGGATCCTGCTTCTGAGCTGAGCAGCCTCCTAGGCAGGGCGTCCCACACACACATGGTGGCTCTCCAAGCCTGTGCTTGGCTGCTCACAGGGCCTGTGGAGAGGGCCGAGGACGCCAGCTACCAGTCTGGGTGGCTCAGCTGGGAACTGTGTGTGGTCCTGCCCTGCAGTTTGGGAACAAGTCCCCTGGAGACTTGGGGAAAGAGGTTGCTGTTCACCCTAGGCCCCAGAGCAGGGTGGACAGTGGTCAGAAAGGGGTCAGGTGGACAGCTCTGTGGAAAGGGCCATCGTGGCTCAGCTTGCACTGAGGACTGTACTGGAGGCCCTGACATCTGCCTTAGGCAGCGAGCACGGTGACCTGGGAATCTGCTGGCCACTGGGTGTTGGCCGACTCACAGCACCAATAGACTCTGTTAAACCCCTGTACTAACACCTGGGGCCAGGCCTGAGGTTGAGGACATCCCCAAGGGGTAACCCACAGCCTGAGCCCAGCCATGGCTGGGTCCCCATTAGGGTCTCTTGCCCACTGGATGGGTGATGGGGGACTCTGAGGCAGCGGGGTGAGGAAGGTTGCTGGCTGAGGCTGTTTCAACAAGTAAGAAATGGTCTGCCCCGCTGCCAGCTTCCTTGTCTTGTCCCGCCTGAGCTCACCAGCCTGAATGCAGAGCCAAGGCCAGAAACAGCCGAGAGAAAGGGCTGCCCGCTCGGCAGGGATGGCAGCACAAGTGCCGCTTCCTGGTCCCAGGCATCAGTATGGGCCCTTCTGCTGGGCTTCCAGTACCACTAGCCTCATGCCGAAGGCCCCCACTGGACCTTGGTACACAAGCCTGGTTTTTTGAAGTTGAGGCTGGGTAAATGCACTCCCTCCCATCCAGGAAGCTTGGTCCCACACAGAATCTGTCACGTTTGGTTAGCCAGTAGCGCTTCAGTCAGAACCATACTTAGCAGAACTGCTAATCCCTGGGGTCAAGTGTGACCCTGAACTGGCTTTCCTCCCCTCTGGAGAGGCCCTGCCCCATTTCCAACAAGTCAATGTGGCAGGAAGCTCCTCCAGATGACAAACCACCCCAAGGCCTCCCGGTTCCCAACCCAGGGTCAGTGAGCGCCCGCGCCTTCATCTCAGTAAGAACTAAGCACCATCCAGAGCGATGGTCTCCTTCCCAGGGGCTCTGCCCAGGAGGCTGTGCGCACGTTTTAGCTACAGGCCTACATCGCTTAAAAAACTGACAAGCCGGATTGTTCCGTTCAGAACGCAGTCCCGTTCCGTGACAGGCTCCACTGCATGGCCGGAAATCAATCAGCATTTATCGGCTGCGTAGAGGATGTTGTAGTGGGACGTTTTATAGAGCAGGTAAACCGAAGGGCTGGCTGCCTCAGGAAACACGTGGTGGTTCAGTGCCGTGTCCATCTCATCCACGTACTCCACCTGCAGGGCGATGTTCAGCGCCTGGGACAGCGCCGTGATCTGGATGTGGTCACATTCCATGGCCATGGGTTCTACTTCCTGCTGAGACCAAAGTGAGAAAGCAAGAGTGAGGAGGGCAGGGGTGGGTCAGGTCCCCAGTGCAAACCTGAAAGTCCAGGTGGTACAAACCTACCCAGCAGTGCTGCGGAATAAAGGCCTGGCAAGAATACAGCCAAGAAAACACTCTGGAAGAGTTCTACTCCGTTATCACATGGGGTAGTTGCAGATCCCAGACCCCTTGATTTTAAGAAGAGTCTGGGAGCAGGGATGGACCCCTTCTTCACGTTGTCCTCCCCTTTCCCCCCATAATCTGTGCGTGAGTGTGAGTGCAGGCGTGCTGAGGAATAGTTGAGGGAAGCAGAGGTGGACTGAAAGGCAGAGGTGATGGTCAGCAGGCCCCACATAGAGGGGCAGCTACTCTGGCTGCTGCTGATGGGGACCATGAACTACAGGTCCTTCTGCTTTCTCATGAAAACTGCCCAATTCTCCATCCTAACCTAAGCACGGTTTGGGGTGACCGTAATCTTGCAGTTGCTGTTCTACCCCTCTGGAAGCAGTCCAGCCCCCAGCCCTTACTCCCTAGATGGGAGAGTGGCTTGCCCAGAGCCATAGAGTCCAGGCAGGTCAGGTAGGGCTTCTTCCCAGCTTCCCCACCTAGTGCTCTTGGAATTGCAAGTGTGGTGAGCTGCCCAAGTCCTCTGGCTAGCCATGGTGGCCTTACGTCTGTCTGCAGGGGCCAGAGACCAGGGCAGAGCCTAAGGACAGACGCACGTGAGCACAGAAGTCTTTGATGTCCATCTCCTCGTCGATGAAGTGTCGGAAGAAGTCCGCCCGGTTCTTGATGAAGGCGGAGGTGAGCAGGCGCAGGAACTGCACCACACGGTCCGAGGTGCCCTGGTCATTGAACACCTTCAGCAGGCTGGACACGGAGCTGTCCCTCTCCAGCAACTCTACCACGCTGTAAAACTGGTTCCCCCAGGCCAGCGGTCAGTCAGGGCAGGTCACAGCTCTCCCTCCTCCCTCCTCCCTCCACAGGGCTTCTCAGCTTCCTCCGTGGAGCCGCCAGTAGGATGCCCTCCAAAAGGAGTTAACTGGGCTTAGAAATACTCTGTAATGAGCATTTGAGCCCAGGGTCATGGCCAGGGAAGGGGGCCCTAGGTGGCACTTTGAATCCACCCACAGGCCTCTCAGAAGGGTCACAGCGCTGAGGGTCCTGGGGAACAGTTGTACTCTGCACACACACGGGCATTGCGAGTTCGAATCCCTTTGACCCTTGAATGTCTACGGAACAGGGCCTGGACCCTCCTCTGTCCCGGTGTCCCGGTCGTGGGCTTTTCATTGAGATTCAGAGTCATCCAAACCTCAGCCCTTCACTAGTCCTGTGGAGCCATGTGGGAAGGGTGGGGGAAAGGAGGCCTGAGGGTCCCAGCCCTAAGCAACTGCCTTCCCCTGAGGGAGGGAGGGCGGGCTCCCACTGCCCTTTCCCAGGCAGCAGGAGCTGGAAAGGCACAAACTACAGAGCTCTGGTGGGGAGGGGCTCTGGCCAGCACCTCCTCTCCACCCCCACCCCGCCTTCTGCTGTATCAGGTGAACTCACAGCATTAAAGAAGTTTCGGAACTTGTGCTCCTCAAAGCCGGCAGCCAGGAGGTCATTTGGGGTCTGCAGTACATGCTCCTTGAACCTAGGGGGCGGTTAAGTGATGCTTAGGTGGTATCAGAGACACTGGACAGTAAGTGTTCACCCCACTCTGGACTACGGTGACCCCCAACACTGGGGAAGGGTGTTATCACTAAGGGACTGGTCCACAAAAGGAGCGGCATATCGCGCTCAAGGAGGATAACGTGTAAGGTGTTGGTGAGCAGTCAGCACACAGAGCACACAGCGGCTGCACTGACCAGCCTCACCAACTCTGGACACTAACAAGGGAGTAAACGGCACAATGAGAAAGGCTGGAGGTTGCCTCAGGCTCAGCGGACCAGGACAAGTCCCCTCAAGGGGCTGTGCCCTGAGGGGACCTCATAGTGGAGCAAAGAGTTTGCCAGAGGGGAAGAGCAGGGGTGTGCTGGCAAATTTAGCAGCTGGCTTGCGGGGGTGCGTGGAGCAGGGCTGGTGTGGGGAAACCCAGGTCAGTGTGCAGCTTTGGCCAATACCTGTGCTATAAATACTTTCTACCAGCTCACTGATGTGCCAGTTGGGAAGGGGTGGTCAGTAACATGAAGAACCCTCATTGCACAGTGGTTAAACACTTGGGTGGTAACTGAAAGCTTGGCTGTTTGAACTGCTCCCCACCCCTTATTCCATTTCAACCACAACAAGCAGCTGGGCACCCCCACCAGACAGTCCTCCAGCTCACTTCATGGGGGGAAACTTGGGGCTGACCTTGTCCACTCACCTGAGGATCTCCCTGCTCCTCCCCAGCAGAGACTCCAGGTAGGAATAACCCAGGGCCCGGTAGAAGCAGTTCCCATCCCCTTTGATCTTCCGAATTGCTGTGAACCTTTTGCTGAGTTCCTGCCAACGAAGGGAATGTGGGTCTCAGGTTGTGCCAGACTCCCAGCTCCCTCAGGGAGCACCATCCTGCTCCCAGACTCGGCTGTCACCTACTTATTCCACAAACAGATGAACGGAGCCACTGTCCCTGCCCCTGGGCAGCCTACAGTCTGGAGGATGCTAGGCAATTCCGTGATGGGAACTCAGGTCAGGGGAAGCTCAGGCTGGGGTGCCACACAAGTGATATCTACATCAGATATGAAAAGTCCAGGAAAGCTTGGAGGAGCAGGGGTGTGTGTGGGGTGATGTGTGAGCAGGGAGAACGCCTGGGGAGGGGTGGGTGGGTGTTGATGTCGGTGTGGCTGGGTTGGTGGGGAAGAAAGTTGTACAACCTGCTGGAAGGGTCTCCTGAGACACATTCACACAGTCTGCCCCATTGTGCAAACACTTCTCAAAAGGTTGGGCCCAAGGACAGCATTAGCCCCCAGAATATAGCTCAAGAGACAGGAGCAGGAAAGAAGAATGAATAGAAACAACCTAGAGGAGGAAGTGGGAAGAATGCTGTTACACTGAGGGGAAAAATTAGTGGATGAAAAACTAAGTTCTGTAAATTTCCAGCCAAATAACAATACTGAAACAAAACCAAACCAAAAAGGCAGAGGACCTGCCCTCATTCCCTCCTTGTTCTGCTCTGAGCTGTTTGTTTCCCTCTGAAAAGACCAGAAATCCCCTTAGTGCACCCAAGGTACAAGGGGAAGGAGGGGCTGCTGCACACAGACCCGTCCTTTCCCAAGAAGGCTCCAGGGGCAGAGGGCGGGAGTCCTCTCAGCTCTTGCTCCTGCAGGAAAGGCCGACATGGGACCCACACTGGACCAGCCAGAGTCTTGAGGACAGTGGTCAGGGCCCAGTGACTGTGTTGTGTCTGTGAGGGTTGAGGCAGATATTCTGCCTCATGCCAGAGAAAACCCATTCTTCAGAAAGTGAGGGAGCAGCAGAGAGGTGCAGCCCTGAGATGGGGAGAGGTTAGCCAGCCCCTCCCACTGCACACCTCTTCCTAAACCTTAGCCCAGCTGAAGAGCCCCTTACTCCTTAGAGGTAGTAGTTTAGTGATTACAAGCGTGCCTCTGAATTTGGGTTACTTGGATGCAAGTCCACACTCTGCCACTCCCAACTTGCATGACCTAGGGCATGCCATTTAATTCCCTCAGTTTCTTCAGCTGCAGAATGGGGACAATGGTAGTTCTTCCATCACAGAGATGTGATAAGTCTCTGAGTAAGTAAAACACTTAAGACAGTGCTGAGCTTGAAGAACAAAGGCTGATTTTGTGTGTGTGACTAAATCACTCCGTGTTTAAACAAGCACCCCACATGACAGTAAACATATGTGTTCTCCCAGTCTTGTCTTTTGCCCATGAACCTAGTCCAAACTAGTCCCTTTTGCTTTCAATGTGCTTTTTCTCAGCTCCCAGTTCCAGCCCACTGACCTCGGGACCCTCTTCTCCCTCCCCTCTGCCTCACCTGGATTTTCCGCTGGTAAATCCTGTTTTCAGGATGATCCCGAAGAATGGAAAGAATGTCAAATTTTTCTGATATTAGGTTAAAAGATGTTTCACTCTGAAAGAGATAAAGAATGGTGACAATTTCAAAAGCACCCGATGGGATTTCACCCACTTGCTGGTCTCTGAACCACTAGTTCAATAAAGTTGGCCCTGTGACCTTACCCTGGAGGGCAGGTGCATGGATGTAACCAGTATCCTTGAGGCAGATCTGGAGCCCCTGTCCCTAACAGGGATGGTCAGCACCCTCACAAGAGTATCCCTGGTCAAGAACCCTCATCAGGGAACTTCCAGAAGGATTCATTTTGTAAAATACAAGACCTCAACTTCACACTTAGGGAACCTTCAAAGCCTTGGTGGTACAGTGGTTAAAATGCTCAGCTTTAATGATTTAGCGGTTTAAACTCACCAGCTGGTCCATGAGAGAAAGGCAAGGCCTTCTGCTTCCGAATTCATTTGTTGTGCTGTGGAGTCGGTTCCGACTCATGGCCACCCTGTATAGGGTTTCTGAGGAGCAGCTGGTGGGCTGGAACTGCTGACTTTGCACTAGTCCCCCAGTCTGGTGTGTGTTCCCCAGCACTTCACCAGGACTCCCCGTAATGATTGTTTATTGTTAAGTGCCAGTGAGTCGGTTCCGACCCACAACGACCTGGCATAGGGTTTCCAAGGAGCGGCTAGTGAGCTTGAACTGCCAACCCTGTGGTTCAAATAACTTTGTAGCCCAGCACATTAAGCCACAGCGTCACACCTGTAATGATTACAGCTGTGTAAATTCTATGAGGTAGTTCTACTGTGTCCTAAGTATAGGGTCATTACCGAGTCCTGGTGTGGCACTGGGCTGCTAACCAAAAGGTCAGTGAGTCAAATCCAGCAGCCACACCTTGGAAACCCTACACAGAGTTGTTATGAGTCTGAACCAACTCAATGGCATTCAATGCCAACAAGAATCAGACTTGATGACAGTAGGTTTGGTTTGCTTTGGTTAAGGAATCTTTATGCTGAAGAATGATGCATCTAATTACCTTTTGTCCTTTCTCATCCACCCAACCCAATTCCTGAACATTCAGCATGGGCCACGTACCATCTTACATGCCAGAAATACAGGCAATAAGATATAGCCCATCCCATACAGGGTTGCTGGAGTCCTGGTATGACGCTGTGGATTTATGTGCCAGACTTCAAAGTCATTTGAACTGCAAGGCCGGCTGTTCAAGCTCACCAGCTGCTCCTCAGAAACCCTATACAGGGTAGGGTGGCTGTGGGTCAGAATCGACTTGACGGCACTTAACAACAACATACAGGATTGCTATGAGCCAGAATCAACTTAATAGCACTTAACAATATCAGGGAAAACAGTAATGACTAACGAGGTGACATAAGGTCACGTAAGATGCCACACTCCTTGGCACTGTTCACAGGGAGGTCCCGTACAGGGTGCCCTGGAAGGTTTTCCACACCAAGAGCAGATGGGATGGGGAGGGCAATTTCACACGCCACCTACGGGTGAACATTCATAGTGCAGCCCAGCTCGGCATCTTTGTCCATTGCAATCTGGGAAGCAAGCCTCCTAAAGGAGTAGTCCCTCTGAGGGACTAAGAAGAAATCTGACAGGGAGGAGGAGGTGACAGAAGGAAGCTCAGGGTCCAAACTGCAGGAGACATCTCTGGCTCCCAGCTATCTTGCCGCAGGTCTCCTCTCTGCCAGTTCATTTGTCCTGCTGGGTTCACACCTGAGAGAGACCTGCTCCCTCCACCTGCCTGGGAGCAGCTCTGGTTTTAGCATGACAACATTGTAGAAGAAATTTGTGTTAGAACCATTTATAGCATATGTTGTTGTTGTTATGTGCCATCCAGTCAGTACCAACTCTTAGTGACCTTACGCACAGCAGAACAAAACACAGCCCGATCCTGGGCAACCTCACTATTGTTGCCATGTTTGAGCTCATTGATGCTGCCACTTGGCCAATCCATCTGGCTGGGGGGGTCTTCCTCTTTTTCTCTGACCCTCCACCTTACCAAATATGATAATCTTCTTTACCAAACATGATATCCTCCTGACAATATGTCCAAAGTATGAGAGACAAAGTTTGGCCATCTTGGCCTCCAAGGAGCACTCTGGCTGCACTTTTTCCAAAACAGTTCTTTTGGCAGCCCGTGGCACTTTCAATATTCTCCTCCAACACCATAACTCAAATGCATCAATTCTTCTACGGTCTTCCTTATTTACTGTCCAGATTTCACATGCATATGAGGCTACTGAAAATACCATGCCTTGGGTCAGGTGCACCTTAGTCCTTAAGCTGACATCTTTGCTCTTCAACACTTTAAAAAGGTCTTGGGCGGCAGATTTGCCTAATGCAATACGTTGTTTGATTTCTTGACTGTTGCTTCCATGAGTGTTGATAGTTGATCCAAGAAGAATGCAGTCCTTGACAACTTCAATCTTTTCTTCATTGATAAGAATGTTGTTTATTGGTCCAGTGGTGTGGATTTTTGTTTTCTTTACATTGAGATGCAATCCATACTGAAGGCTGTGCTCTTCGATCTTCATCAGTAAATATTTTAAGTCCTCTTCACTTTCAGCAAGCAAGGCTGTATCATCTGCATATCACAGGTTGTTAATGAGTCTTCCTCCAATCCTGATGCCACATTTTTCTTCATAGAACCCAGCTTCTCAGATTATTTGCTCAGCATACAGGTTGAATAAGTATAGTGAAAGAATACAATCTTGTCGTACACCTTTCTTAATTTTAAACTATCCAGTGTTCCTGTGTTCTGTTCGAACAACTGCCTCTTGGTTCATGTACAGATTCCTCATGAGCACAATTAAGTGTTCTGGAATACTCATACTTCTCAGTGTTGTCCATAGCTTGTCGTGATCCACACACTTGAAAGCCTTTCCGTAGTCAATAAAGCACAGGTAAACATCTTTCTGATATTTTCTGCTTTCAGCCAAGATCCATTGGACATCAGCAATGATATCCTGCATTCCACGGCTTCTTCTGAATCTGGCTAGAACCTCTGGAAGTTCTCTGTCAATGTATGCTTGCAGCTGCTTCTGTAGTATCTTTAGTAAAATTTTACTTGCATGGGATATCAAAGAGATTGTCCAATGATTTCCACATTCTGTTGGGTCACCTCTCTTTGGAATGGGCACAAATATGGATCTCTTCCAATCAGTCGGCCAGACAGTTGTCTTCCAAATTTCTTGGCAGAGATGAGTGAGTGCCTCCTGTGCTGCATCACTTTCTTGAAAGATTTTAATTTTTATTCCATCAATTCCTTATACTTTGAGCTTTATACTTTATACTCTAAGATAAATGATGCTTGTACTGAGAAGGTGAAACACAACGTTCTTGCCTTCCTGCTTCCCAAGGGGTGCATGTCTGTACAACAGGTGTGCGGATGGGATACTGCTATGAAATGGAAGTCTTGTTTTCCATCCATTGAGCACCATCGACGCTTAGTGGTCACTGCTGCCGGCCCCTTTCACTTCATGCCTCCAACCACAAGGCCTCCCCTGGTTGCCGCTCTCCTCATTGACTGCTAATGATCTCGACTCAATGTCATTCCGCCCTTTCTCCATTTGGAGAAATAGGTCTGGGTCTTTGAGGATGAGATTGCTCCACAACTGACCACCCATGAGGGTCACCCATGTCACCAAAGTGAACAGGCTCCACACTACTGTCTGACCCAGATTCACACAGCCACCATCCAGGACCAAAAGACTGGGAAGGGGCATTTGTAGGGACCTTGGAATTCCCCAAATCTCCAAAGCCACATGGTGTCTCTTGGCACAGGACAGCTTGTCCTATTGTCTGTGACCTTCAGTTCACCGGCAACTCCCCCTGGGGCCAGTCATGGGGCCTGGCACAGAGGAGGGAATGATAAACTGTTCGTTAAATGAAGGACTAGAAATCCTATTTGTGTTCTGAAGCTCTGCCTAAAAGCCACCTCCTCCACCAAGCCTCCCTGATCTCCCCACTCTTCCCCAGAACTCACACTTTATTCCTTTTCTTCCTTTCTGGGGGCTCTGGGCATGCCCTTCCCCAGACTTGGGGGGTTGGTCAGGGCACCTTTAGAGGAAAGCTTCAGAGTGGAAAAGATGGGTTTCTGGTCTCAAAGGACAGAAGGGAGAATGCTTTCAAAAGAGGAAACAGCATGCAAACACTTGGAGGAGGAGAGAAGAGATCCTGGGTTTGCTTCTGGAAGTTTTTATTCTGTATCCACCTTTTTTGTAAGAGTAAGCCTGGCTCAGGTTCCATCGTCTCTTCTGCTCTGACAGTATGGAGGCAGACTGAATAACTGTTCTGGGCAGACGCTGTAGACTGCTTTGTCACCATCCGTCACCCCTTTTGTCCCCACTAACAGAGTACTGGTTTCACCCAAGGCAACGTGATAAAAATGACCAGAGGAAGCCAGTCCTTTCCTAAACTTCATTTTCCCAGCTTCCCTTGCAGCTATGGTCTTGCCAGACCTAAGAAAAATCTACTGGATCCTTCTAGGAAAGCTTTAGTTTTAGATTAAAGGAGCAGAGATGGCATGTCCCATTTCTTTCCTTTTCTCCCTGCCTTAAATGCAGATGGAATGTCCACATCACAGCAGCCATCCTGTGACCATGAGGCTGAAAAACAGCACATGGGGGATGGTTGATGATCTACGGCTGTCCGACATTGTGTTGTTAAGTGCCTTCAAGTTGGTTCTGACTCATAGCAACCCTGTATACGGTTTCTGAGGAGTGGCTGGTGAGCTTAAACTGCCTGCCTCGTGGTTCAAACCAACCTTGCAATCTAGCACATTAAGAAGATGTAGCGCCGCACCAGGACTCCATCCTACGGTTAAGCTGTATGAAATAAAAACAAGTGCTGTTATTACGCATAAACCATGTACCAGGTGCTGGGACAGAGGTGTGTGTATCCTCAATACCTCATTTAATTTCACAACAACCTAGTGAGGAGCCGCCAAAACGTATTGCTACAAAATCATAGAAGCTTTTATTAGAAATAACCAACTGTGAAGCTACTGTTTCTCAAACATATCCTACATCTGGGTCTATACA